TCAAACATCCTTCTGACCTAACCACTTTGGGAACCCTTGAAAGTAACTAACCATTAAACGTTAAAACTAGCTCAAGGATTGATGGTGTCTCAGAAGACTATGGGTTAATAAAGGTCACGACTTGCTTGCTGAAGACCATATACATGTTTTATTCACCTGGACACAATCTATGGTGAGGGGCAGAGTTAACAAATTTCATTGCCTTTTCAGTTGTAGAAGTGGCTTGAACTATCTCCCATTGCTGAATAACAGGACAGGATGGGGAGGAAAAGTTTCAGCCAAAACAGTAATTTCCCCCAAACTCCATGAGTTCGCTCATATCTGTGCATCTGGTCTTCATTCCTAGAGTGATCTGGTCATTGTCTGCAGGCCACCCTACTACTGTGCTTGCTGCACATCAGCTCAACTCTCTATGAGGGAAGGACTGCAATAAAGAAACCAGAAGGGAGGACTGAGCAGGGAAACCTGTTCTGCATTTTGTGGCCATCCCTGAAAGGAAGGGGTTATATTCAACTACACTGGACATTCTTCTTATCTCTGCTCCTTGATATAAATTTTTAGTCACAATCTCAACCTCAACTAACAGACGGAAGCTGGCAGAAGTAAGCATAGTTTTTGTTTATTTCCTAGAGAAACACACACACACACACACACACACACACACACACACACACACACACAGTGAAGCAGATGCTAGATATTATTTCCTCTCTATAATTTTGAAAATTCTCTGCAATGACTATGCATGTATTTCACAACTGATAAAAATCATAACCATCATTTAAGCATTTTTCCTCTCAACTCCCACTGCTTTCACACAGAAGTCTGCATCACTCTTAACTCTGTAGTGTTTTATAAAGCAACAAACAGTAGTAAAACCTACAACAAGAACAGGGGTATTTAAGAGCAAGTGGTAGAAAAAAAAAAATTTTTAACTGGTGTGATTATTATCTTCACAAAGAAAATAGCTTAAATACAGGAATAATAAAAGCATTCCAAAGTCTCAAAAGGCCTATTCGGCTGTTCATAAATTTAATAATTATGCATATAAAAAATAATAGATTTTCAGATGACTGGTCCATTTGCAACCCAAGGTTTCATTTTGAAAAATACAAACCAACTTCTTTAAAACTGGCAATACTGATATAAAATAATGGAACAGATTACTCTAACAATATTTCATAAATATTCCACACCAACAGATAACAGTAATAACACTCTCAACAACAATGGCTGATGCTTACTGAATGCGTTTTAGAGATCACTCAAGGGACTAAGTGCTTTAAATGCATAATCTCCTGGAATTGTCAAAGCAACCCAACGATGAAGGTATTTTCTTTTTCTTATCCATATTTCATGGATGAAGAAACTGAGGATTACAGACATTGAATAATTTCAGCATTGGGACTCAAAATCAGTTCTGTCTTAAATACTATATTAAAACCTTCGCACCTTTGAAATCAGTTAAATTGGCTTCCAAGATCAACACCTTTTAAGCCAAGACCAACACCGTTTAAGACAATCACCTTCCAGGGATGGGCCAAAAATTGGGCAATGATTGAAATTTTTAAAAATAGCAAACTTATGAAAACTCAAACAATTTGGAAGAGACAGGACTATTAAAAATAAATGTTAATTTCCATGAAGGAGGGACACCAAAGAACTCATCAGGAAATCCTGAACCCCTCAGTAAGTAGAAATTCTACCAAAAGCTTTCCCTGGCTTCTTTCTGGAATCCATGCTTCTGAACTAAAAATCTTCATTCTTCTTTATTGTCCATATATTTCATATATCACATAAAGCAGATTATGTGGGTATCTGGGGAAAGCATGTATTTAAACCACAACTTTCCAGTCACACTAAGAATATAAAAGTTTATAATTGTGGACCATACCTTGGTTTTCATGAACTTGGAGTGACTTTTGTAAACCTCTATTTGTTTTATCTCTTCTTCGCGGTCCTCAGTGTTCAGCACACCATTGGCTTTTAACATCTGGATCTCATCCTCAAGATCCCTTATGTTTCGCTCCAATGAAGCGATTTTTGTGTCCTGTTGGTAAAAAAAAAAAAAAAAAAAAAAAAAAAAAAATTTTTTTTTAATGATTTTTGTGTCCTGTTGGTAAAAAAAAAAAAAAAAAAAAAGAGAAAGAAAATTGTTTTTTTAATATTATCAAAACAGTTTCAGAAAGCAGTTTCAGTAGTAATACATTAATCAGGGTGTAGACATAGCCCTGAATTCAGAACAATTTATTTTTTTCACTTCTGAAGATCACTTGTGAGATTTTTTTAAGCTCCCAGTAAACAGCACATGTCAATACAATACAGAGAGTTACCTAGATATGTTTGTCTCATATCTGGGAATCAAATTACCAAAGCAATAGTGATAAAACTGATCTGAAGTATTAGAAAACAAAAACGTCATCTAAATAGACGAATCTGTAACTTCAGATATAATTTACCAGTGTATATTTTTGAGTCTACTTGCAAATACAAAAACGGTTTGTTCATGTGTGTATTCTGTGGCTGGTTTTATAAGGCATGCTTGGAATCTGACCGTGAAAGAGAAGGAAATTAAAATCTACTAATGGGGAAAAGGATTCTCATCTAAAATGCAGACATAAGTGAAATTAAATAACTGAATCACGACTTAGTATGACTGATACACTAAATATTCAAAATTTATAGCAACTGGAAATAATATATCACATTATGATTTATTTGGCAAGCAGTCAGCTGACTGCGTGACAAAAAGCATTACTACCTTGAAGGGCATTTCTAACCCACTGATTTACAGAGTTAAAAAACTAGAAATATTGCACTGAAATGTGGGATTAATTGAGGAAAAACCATAGGGAATTTTTTTTAAAAAGGAAATGACAGACTCCACACACAAGACAGAGCATAATAAGAAATGATGCATTAGAAAGTAGAGAAAAGAGAACTCTTATAGAGGAAAAAAACATTTCCTCAAACCTCAGGTATGAGACTCATATCAGTCCTTGGAATGAAACACACTCAAAGTTTGACTTCAAGTTTTCTGACTGTCACCATCTACCTGACATTTTATTGTGCAGATTCAAGGAGCTTATATTTGTAATTGAAATTTAATAAAAAATGAGCCACCAATGCTTTTTTTTTTTTTTTTTTTTTTTACCATTTTTTAGAATCTAAAAGACTAAAGAGTTCCAGAAGTAAAGACAATGAATGGGGCATTCTATTCATAACAACTCATAGAAAAAACTTTTCAACAAATATGTCTGTCCTGATTTTGTGGCTATTTTCTATTTTATTTTCCTAAATTATATGCCCAATGGCATGTTTCCTGTGGCAACATGATAATCATTATTACTATCACTGACATCGCCGTCACTGTTAAAAGAGAAAAAGTGAGGAGCAGCAACAGCTGCTTATTGAGCTCCACTGTGTGCCCATATCTGGGTGCTCTAAAAGTGCTGAAGACACTTTTATTAATTCTCAGGAAAACCCCCAAGAAGATGAAAGAAAACAATTCTGAAATTTGCAAGACTATTATGGAATGTTACATTCTGTAGTATTTCATTTTACTTTAAAAATATGTATTGTATTTTTTTCAGTTATAAAAGTATAATAATATACTTTAAATTCACAGTAAATGGAGAAAATCCCCTCTATTTCTACCATCCAGTGATAACTATCACTGTTTTTATGTGATAAAACACATGTTTTTATGTATCGCCTGCCAGTCTTTTCCTATTTTAGATGCATATCTGGAAATCTTGTATACTGCCAATTTGAGCAAGGAGAATGTTATGGACTGAATGTCTACGTGCCTCCAAAATTTATATGTTGAAGCACTAACCCCTAGTGTGATTGTATTTGGAGATGAGGCCTTTGGGAGGTAATCAGGATTAGATGGGGTCATGAAAATGGAGCCCTCATGATGGGATTAGCACCCTCATAAGAAGAGATCCCAGAGAGCTTGTTTTCTCTCTCTGCCATATGAGAACACAGCAAGAAGGTAGCCATCTGCAAGCCAGGAACAGAGCTCTCACAGGAATCCAACCATGTTGCCACCCTGATCTCAGACTTCCAGCCTACAGAACTGTGAGAAAAAAAATTTCTGTTTTTTAAACCACCCAGTCTGTGGTATTTTGTTATAGCAGGCCAAGCTGAAGAACGTAGGGAGTCTTCCTTAGTGACTCATTTGAGTTCTAATTTGTGATAACTGTAGATAAAAAGAGCAGCAACAATGAGAAGGCTATGGAAAAAAAAAAAAAAAAAAAAACTTCCAGAAGTTCATAAGAGCCTTCATAAATAAATGAGTCATTTTAAATCAAGATTTTTTCTGACTATAAAATTGGCATGCTCATTATAGAAAACTTGAAAAGCCACATAGATAATTATGATGCCCACCCCAATCACATCACTCCAATCTACCCACTAGTAACAAATTTATTTACCCCCATGAAGGCCTTAAGACTACATGATTTCTTTAAAACATATTAAAAGATAGATCTCTATTAAAACTAATCAATATAATATAGATTTCCCCTCTTTACTGAGATACAATCTTTCAGCATTTACAAATATCTAAGTGCAATCTTTACAAGAGTTAACTGTAAATTAAGTGTGAAAGGGCCAACATTCCTTTCCTTTTTTTTTTTTGAAATTCTCATTTTAATGGTCAATAGCTTCTGGTTGGCTCTGGATGGTACAGGTAAACAACATGCTTAACGACACCCCTCCCCCCACCCAACCCCCCCGGCGCATTCACATCCCCACTGTAGCATTGCTTCCATCACATCCTGCCGCCCGGTCAGACTTCCACAGCCTCAGGCCCCCCGTGGGTTACGGAAATCCACATCTTAGTGTGATGAGCTAAAAATAAAAAAACCCTGGTACACTTGTGATCTGTTATTTCTTTAAAATAACAGACGTGAAGCCAGATGCCTACCCGGGCTCCGCTGCCTCACAGAGCCACCTCGCGGACCGGGCTGCCTGCTCCCCCTACTCCGCCCCGATCATACAGTGCAGAGCTCGTAAATCTTCTTTACGTAGTACACGAGAGCCGCCAGTGCTATCGTGTTGTGCAGTCTCTTCCTGTGCAAGTCGTCCTTCAGGACCAGCACCACCAGGGTGGAGGAGGTGAGTGTGTGCAGGGGCAGCCGGGACAGTCTGTAGGCGTCGTACTCCACCAGGTACTTGCAGCAGGGGTCGAACTGCCAGGAGATGCCGGAGAGGGTGCAGGAGGCCAGGCTCAGCACACCCGCGGGCAGCGAGATATAGTGGGAGTAATCCAGGGGCAGCGCCAGCGGGGTGAAGAGGCAGGCGGTGTCCGCCAGCACGGTGGTCTTGTGCAGGCAGTTGCCCACGGTGATCCAGCGGCCAAAATCTTCTGAGATTTCAGATTCAAGTCTAAAGTAACTATATTTACATGTATATACGTATGTATATATACATGTATAAATATGTTGTGTACTGCAATACGCTTTGTAGTCCCAAATTTTAAACCTTAAATTCTTGATAGCGTTTGTTAAAATTTCAGGTCTTAATCATGCAGGCAAGGGGAAAAGAAACCCTCAGCTTTCCTCTCAGTCAATTTCTAAGGCTTTAAGTTAGCAATGACCACAGCTGCCAACTTCTAAATGGGTTAAAAAGGAGCTTTTCACTGGACTTCTAAAAATTACATACTGCTAAAGAAAGATCAGAATGGAGTTAGAAACATAGAAAATCCTATTGACCTATACATATCCGAGTTAAAAATCTCACCAAATGGTGGAACACATTTTAAAAATAATATTTTAACTTTTACTAATTTTCTTAAATTAACCAGCCTGTGTATTTCCTCCCAAACTTATTTTCCTTTAGCCACAGATGTCCCAAAATACCAAAAAAAAGAAAGAAGAAAAGATGAAAGAAAGAAAACTGTATACTGTGGAAATCACTTTAATAAGGATCTATTTCTTCTGTCCTTATTAATATTTCTGTTCTTACAATAAGAAGTCAATTTCAAGAATCCATACCTAAAATCATAAGCATAGAGAAAAGGAGATGGGAGAATATCAGTAAGATCTAGGGAGGAGAAGAGATGCAAAATACACAGACATATTAGATGATCTACTGATTCTGCCCAAGAAGGTATTCAAAATGCTGAACCAGAGAAAGACATGAGGGGGCTTCCCTGGTGGCGCAGTGGTTGCGAGTCCGCCTGCCGATGCAGGGGACACGGGTTCGTGCCCCGGTCCGGGAGGATCCCACCGCGCACAGGTCCTCAGAGCGCGAGAAGGAGTCCACCGCGCTGTCCGGGCGCAGCTTCACCGAGTGCTCATGGCCTGAGCGCGGCCTCGGGGACGCTGGCTGGAGACAGGATGCCCACACCCGCCTGGGGGCCCCGGCTCGCCTCCCGGCCCCTCGGGAGCTCACCGCATGGCGGCTGCGGCATCGCATCGTACGCAGGACCGCAACAGTGAGAGGCCCGCGAACCCCCCCACACACACACAAAAAAAACAAAAACAGAGAAAGACATGAGGAAATATAAGTATGAAAAATAAAGGCAAAGAAAAGGACTGCCATGGTCACACCTTCTCTACTGCTTCAGTTTGAGGAATTCAGGGAGAATTTTATTTTTCTTTTTTTAAAACCTCTAAAACTAAGATAAATGACTAAAGACATATTTAAGGAGGACTACAGAAGGAAACTATCTCACAAGTCCTGATATGGCTCAATGTTGTACATGGATGTTGCCTTTCAAAATAGATACTAAATGCACATGCTCAGTAACTCAAGCACTGGTCCAGAATAGAGAGAAAAAATACTTAAGACATATGCTGTAACATCCTGAAAAGTGGAGTTTTAGAAGGCAGAACAACATTTTATTCCCAATCGCCAAAGAATCTTCATCGGAGTATCTTTAAATGTTATTTATAACTGATATTCTAAAATAAGTTATGTAGTGAGATCTTCAAATACTCATCTAGATTGTGTTTCACAAATACGCAAGCTCTCAAAGCAGATAACTGTAGGCCTTCCTTAGAGATGGGGTAAGGGAAATACAGTATAAAACAGTTTTTCCCAAAGTCCACAGAACCCAAATGCTCTGTGAAAAGGGGCTTGCAGGGTCAAATAAGTTTGAGAAATGATTATTGGGGATTCCCAATGCATATTAGCATTTATCACTCTGGGAAGTCCTACAGCAAAGTATTCTATTTACTTTTATTTTTTCCAGTATTATTCCTCTAGAAGTCAATTCTTGGAAAAAAAAAAATAGAACTTTAATGATGTTAAGCTTGGGGTTATATACTAAAGTGAAGAGTCAAAACAATGATTTGGATTCTTCAAGAGAAAACTTGCCATGATTACCCCCAATTTAAAATAATTGAGGGCTTAAATATCCAGATCACCTTGTCAGCTTCTGTCACTCAAGTCATTTACTGAGAGCCTGCTCTGAGCCCAGAGCAATGAAAGAACAGACATAGACTCCCATGCTCCCTGATTCAGCACTCCATGTCTCAGGTGACATTTTTCAAATAGTCTTGAGACCGGAAAAGCATGAAATTGTTTTGCTTTTATAATATTAATATATTTTGGTTAAAGATTGCAAGAATGTGGGGAAAAAAGTTTTTTGGGGGGGGAAATAAACAACTTAAGTGTGTTTGCTTCATTCCCCATGAGGAAGAAAAAATATCTGAATTGAATATCTCTTTAAGTTACTCCTTTCCATATATTCACAAAATAATACTTGTAATTAATACTTCATTTTATACATCCAGATTATAACTCCTACTTAAAGATTAATACCCGAGACTATTTTATATCCATCATCCAAAAGATGCAAAATAGGTATCTGATGGGCAAACAATCAATCACTGGAATCGAACCCCTAGCAACCATCTACCCAATGGGCCCAGCTTGCTGATTCTGGAATCAGCCATGAATATTAGCAAGCCAACGAGTGCAGGGATTACAGCAATGAGGATGAATGTCAGGTGGAAAGACTAAAATAAGTTTACTTTATCTTTGCTTTTATCTTTTTTTTTTTTAATAATCTCTGTATTTTTCTAGGACATGTCTGCTATAGTTGATAATAAATTTAGATACAGGAAGTTCTCTCATTCATTCAACAAATATATACTGAGCATCTATTGGGTACCGGTCACCTTGCCAGGTGTGTGAGATACCAGGTAGGTATGAACAAGATTCATGGGCATACCCCTCTGCCATGGAGCACAGTCTAGATCCTTGTTATGCAAAGTGTGGTCCACAGACAGCAGCACTGACATCACCTGAGAGCTTTTTAGAAATGCAGTATCTCAGGCCACAACTCAGCCAACTACTGAATCTGAATCTCCACTTTCATAAGGTCCTCAGGTGACTTGGGTGTTCTAAATGGGTTTAGGTGTCCAACATATACAAGGGACAAGACTGGTCAGTGCAAAAGAGACTAGGACAACTTTACTGGCCAAGTACATTTAGAGAAACATGAAGCTACTCTCAAGAGCTATCCAACTTGGCATAAGTGTACAGCAACCCTAGGAGTAAACTCTCTGGAGAAACTTTGCCAGTAAAGATGCCTTTATTACCCTCTTTGTGTTTGCCAAACATTACGTTCCCCTTAAACAGCAAGAAACAGTTTTCAATTCCTCTCTAGGAACTGTGGACACTGAAATGGTGAGTGGGTGGAATATCAAAAAAAAGCAATATCATTTAGTCACAAAAAGTAACAATTATGTTATTGCTGAGTGTCACAATGTGCTTTCCTTTCAAATACACGAAGAATTACTGGTTTCATTTTAATATCAGGCCAAGAAAGAAAATACAAGCATTTTTTACAGAGCATGGAACTCGCTGTGATCACATATCGGTCTACGGACATTAATCAACAAACTTAGGGCCAATTGGTTTAAAGAGAAGACGTGATCTAATGTTCAGGAAACATCCCTACATAATTATATTACACTTTATTTAGAATATAATTCTAGACTATTATTACTGGGTACCACAGAGGCTCTTGAAGGCTTAACTTTTAAAAATCATCTAATTGTAGTTGCAAACATAACTGAGCAGTCTTTGGTCCAGCTATCTGAGTAATGCCCTGCCTTTGGAAGGATTTACTGTGTGGAATTCACCGCAGTTATGTGAGCCCAAGTTAAGCGCTCCACAAAGAAGTCAACTTGGGCCTAAGGCACATTAGGAGGAAAAACAAAAAATCAAAAACTCTTCTTCTTGGCCCTTATCAAACTATAAAAAGATGATGACCTAGATTAGAAGATGACATGGGACATGCTGTTTTCTCGTGTTGCTGTTTTTTTTTTTTTTCTTGCGTTATGCGGGCCTCTCACTGTTGTGGCCTCTCCCATTTGCGGAGCACAGGCTCCGGACGCGCAGGCTCAGTGGCCATGGCTCACGGGCCCAGCCGCTCCGCGGCATGTGGGATCTTCCCGAAACGGGGCACGAACCCGCGTCTCCTGCATCGGCAGGCGGACTCTCAAGCACTGCGCCACCAGGGAAGCCCTCTCGTGTTGCTGTTTTTGTGTTTGTCTGTTTATTCAGATGGTATCTAATTCTTTAGAGCAAAATGTACACGCACAGAATCAGGTTGGGCTAGTTCAAATTAAAAGCAATTAGGGGTATAACTGACTCACTCTGTTATAAAGCAGAAACTAACACACCATTGTAAAGCAATTATACCCCAATAAAGATGTTAAAAAAAAAAAAAAGCAATTAGGGTGTTTTTGTTTTTAAATTTATTTATTTATTTATTTATTTATTTATTTTTGGCTGCGTTGGGTCTTCGTTGCTGCACGCAGGCTTTCTCTAGTTACAGAGAGCGGGGGCTACTCTTCGTTGCGGTGCGTGGGCTTCTCACTGCGGTGGTTTCTCTTGTTGCGGAGCACGGGCTCTAGGCGCCCAGGCTTCAGTAGATGTGGCTCACAGGCTCTAGAGTGCAGGCTCAGTAGTTGTGGAGCACGGGCTTTGTTGCTCCACGGCATGTGGGATCTTCCCGAACCAGGTCTCGAACCCGTGTCCCCTGCATTGGCAGGCAGATTCTTAACCACTGTGCCACCAGGGAAGCCCAATTAGGGTGTTTTGATGTTTCTTTTCATGGTCTCATTGGCCTACTTCTGACTTATTCTTCATGAAGTCCAAGACCCAGGCATGCATCCTGCTGTCCTGTCTCTGTACACATTACTAATGACACACAGGGAGAAGATATGACTCTAGTGGTTCTTGCTGGACACTATGTGACCTATGAGGTTTTGGTCTCCATGTATTAATTTGTTGTTGTTGTTAACAGACTCATGTCTAACAAAAAGAGCTAAAGATAAAACAATCCAACTGACCCTTAGAAAGTCACAAACCTGGATGTAAATCAGTTTTTTATATCTTTGGGCAAGATACTGAGCTTTCCAGAAATAAGACCGTGCTCAAGAGCATGTTATGAAAATTACAAGTGATCTGTAATGCATGAAAAGTACCTGTCATGGAACTCCCTCAAGAGAATAAAGGGTTGCCATTATAAGCCAACAACAGTATAGAAGCCCCTATCCATCCCCCAGTTCGGTGAGGTACACATGTAAAAGACAGTAGCTTCTATTTTTATTCCACCCTGTTTATCTTCCTGCATTCCTAACCTTGCTAATCCTATAACCTAAGGTTGTTATGAGACTTAAATGAGTGACAACATGTACACCTTCCAGTATAATACCTAACACATACTACATGCTCTATCCTTCCTTCCTGTTTCCAGCTGTGGCAGTAGCTGTTTCTTTTTTGTCTATTTGCTCAACTTCTTTTTCTTTTAGGAACTACATCTCCCCAACTCCCTGTGGTTTTAGTGGGGTTTTCTAGTCTGACCCACAGTGGCAAGCACCATGGATCCTCTGGACGCTGACTGATCCAGGGGTGAATTCATTAAGCCATCAAGGCCAATCAGAGTTCTTTGAGCGGACTGACACAGAATCAAGGACCTCTCCTTTTGTGAGATTATGAATGATAAGAAAAATATGGGCCTGTGGCTGGTTGTGGCCTTCTGTAATACCATGTATTAAGAACCTGCCTGGGCTTCCCTGGTGGCACAGTGGTTGGGAGTCCGCCTGTCGATGCAGGGGACACGGGTTTGTGCCCCGGTCCAGGAGGATCCCACATGCCGCGGAGTGGCTAGGCCCGTGAGCCATGGCCGCTGAGCCTGCGCGTCCGGAGCCTGTGCTCCGCAACGGGAGAGGCCACAGCAGTGAGAGGTCCTCATACCGCAAAAAAAAAAAAAAAAGAAGGCAATAAGATGGCTTTGGGGAAGTTAATAATAAAAACCAAAGCTAAAATGGAAGTTGCAACACTAGAAATGATGGTGAAAGAATTCTCAGATATAGTTGAGAATCAAGTATAGAAAAAACAGTGGAGGAATCACCAAAAGAAAGATGAGTAAAAATTGATGGAAATCATGAAAAGGT